ATACTCTTTTCAAAGTGCATCTGTGAAAATTCAGATTAATAATACCAGTCACTGAAGTGGCCTCCACTGAAGGTGAAGAACGTTTCCCAACCTCACTGATGTTGGTCCTGGTGACGTGACCTGCTCTGGGCAATAGAGTATTAGAGGATGTGATTGGAGCCAAGGCTCCAATATTTTTTGTACAAATTAGCTTATCTCTTGACTTCTGTCTTTCCCATGGGAACTCATCCTAACTACTTGTTCTAGAATAATGAAAAACACATGGAGGAGACCTGAACATAACCAGTAGCATAAAACTAAGCCTGGGTGACCCACAAGGAGCCCAGCTTAAATGAGGCCTGCCTCCTGTTTTTTATTTTTTGTTTCATAGTATTTTTTTTCTCTACTTCTTAGATAAGGCAGGACCCAGCCTCCCTCCAGCTTCTCGGAAGATGGGGTGGTAGAGTTTCTCTCCACCCTCCTGTTTGTTGCCCATTGGCATAGTGGGTGACTGATTTTCTCAGCTATATAACTGAAGCATGGTATACTAGCTTTACGGACTGAAAGAAGTCAAAATGAGGGAAGATTTATTTGGCTCAATGTTCCACAAGGTTCTGCCCATGGCTGCTTGGCCCTATATACATGGGCAGAACATCATGGAAGCAGATGCTTGAGATAGAGTTGGGTGTCCACCTGATGGTGGACAGGAGGCAGAGAGGGGAAATAAAGAAAGGAACCAGGACAAGATATAACCAAGGACATGCCTCAAGTAACCTACTTCCTCCTGCTGTGCCTTATCTCCTACAATTCCCAGAACCTCCCCACATCGCTGGAGGCTCTGCATTCATACCTCAACCATGGCAGACAAATTTGCTGACAACACACTCCAAATCTAACTTCAGCCTCCACCCCTTCTACTCATGTCCATCTTTCGTGGTTAATATGTTCCCTCCTCTCGACTGAGGTGGGTTTAAGGTTTTGGATTTTAGTGAGCGTCACCCATTATTTCCCCAGGAAGACTTAAGTTTATTCATTTCTTGTTTCTATTTAAACTTCCGCCAGACACAGTGTGGGCCATGCCTGTGAGGGAGAGTTCCCGGGCTATGACAGAAGGATTGTTAGTTCAAGAACAAACAACAAAACAAAATCTAAGCTTCCAGGATGAACTCTAGACAAATCATCTTAAGAATAGATTTGTGTGGCTTCTGCGTCTGAGCTACAGAGAATGACTGCAGAAAGAGTGAAGAACATCTCACTGAAGCAGAGTTCCATGCAAAGCAGTTTGGGAAAACGAGCTCCAGGGCCCTTCAAAGCACTTCTTCCTACCAGCCCACCATTATTCTCTAGTGTTCAACAAAATGGGGGCAGCCTTTTGGAATGGGCACACTTTCAGCTTTCCTTCCAAGACCTGCATTGCCCTCCAAGAGAGTTAGAGTTTGTGAGCCGGGTAGGAGGGCCTACCACTCAAACAAACTGGGACGTTCAGGCCTAGTAACTGCCAGAGATGCCAAGGGCCAGGTCTCCTGAATTCTGGCATCGGTACTTTTCTTTTTCCAATCTCTGTTATCCCTCTGAAATTTTATAAAAAGATCACATGCCTTTTTGCATATTTGATTCCAATCTTACTGTCTTATTTGGAAAGACATCAAACAATGACTTACAAAAAAAAAATCTCCAGGTGAATAGTAAGAGTGTGTGTTGTATGATTTTAATTATTGATTCTAAGAAGCCTTCCATTTATTTTGTCGAACAAAAATAGAAATCCAGTGTCCTCTTACCCAGTAGTTCAAGCAACTTTAAAAGCTACTTCAAACGGATGGAGAGTTGTGGGAAATGACTAAATGACACTGAAAGCAGCACTCTATGCTTTAAAAAGTTCAAAAATTAGGCAATCTGTGGCAGAAAGGTAGGATCTACCGAAATCAGGACATGGCCTTCAACGAGTCCCAGAACTGATAATGGAGGCAAGTTATGTGTTTAAGGACTGAAACCAATAGGTGGGTGCTGGATATGTTTTTAAAACATTCCTGTTGAATCTATTCGAGGGCAGAGAGTCTCTTTATCATATTTTTTGTATATAATACCTGCTATTGGCCAGGTGGCCCTAGCACAGTGCACACGCTATAATGATGTAAACTACCAACTCAGTGCCTACCCCAGAGTTCTTTGGAAGCATTCAGGCAAGGCTGCAAGGTTTTTATCACCAAACATGCTTATCTGGCAAAGCATCACCACACATTTCTTGTATGACTGGAGATTACAGAAAAAAAAAAAACTTGTGAAGGGCACTTTGGCTATTTTACTCAGTTCCAAACTCATGTATATTCATGCTTCATTGATGGACAATGAGATATAAAGCTAGTTCTCAGGGGTGAGGACCAAAGCAGTGAAGTGCTTGCCTAGCATGCACAACGCCCAGGGTCTGATGGCCAGTATCACAACAACCGTCACAAAGGACTTCCCTGTGCCAGCACCTTTCCAGGAGTGATGCTTTCATGAACAATACAGACAAAACCTCTAGCTGTATGAAGCCGAGAGTTTAGTGAAGGTGAGTGAGTGGCAGGTGAGCTGCTCTAGGCAACGAAAAGTTCTTAGTAAGGAGAAAGTGAGAGCTTCTCTGGAAACCACTCACTCATTAACAGAGACAGGGCGTGGAGGTGGGTTAAAATATTAAGGAAGGCATTCAGGGACGATCTTATTGATATGGTGGCATTTATCTTTATATTCTGCTTATAAGTTTGTAGCTACTAAGTTGCTCTGCATCATGGGCTCCAAGCAGTCAGAGGGAAGAACAACGTAAGGGCTTATCCCTGAGGAGCTAAGTGCAACCTGGGGAGATTTTGATTGCAAAGAAAAATCAGGGTGCTGCTGGCCAACAATCACAGGAAGCAGGATGAGCAAACTAGAAATGGTGTGAGTCTTTAAACTCTTAAAGACCACCCCCGGTGACACACTTTCTCCAGTAAAGCCACATCACCCAGACAGTGCCACCAACTTGGGACTGAGTATTCGAACATCTCCACTTATGGGAGACATTCTCATTCACACCACCAAAGAGAACCATGATAGAGGAGGACACCTACCACTGACCAACACATGAAAACACATGCATGCACACACACACACACACACACACACACACACACACACACACACGCATACAAGATGGAAACAGGGAAAGAAGAAAGGGGTCATGGTTGTGGGGGATCTGAAGGTAAGATGGACAGTAAAACACAGGCTATATGATGAGGAAAGGAGGGAGCCATGGGCGGGGGAGGCTTAAGTGGGAAGAAAAATGGGAGAGTAGAGTGGAATAGGGGCTAAGGAGAGGACTAACACTAAGGAAAAGCCATATGGAAATCAGCTATTTTCACAACACACACACACACACACACACACACACACACACACACACACACACACACTTCATGTAGCTTCCCTATACAGGAGATAATTTTCTTCTCCCCAAAGTCGCAGGTTGCCAAACATAAAGCACAGTGCCAGATGCCTCCCCTCCAGTTGTTGGCCAGGGATATCCTGGAAACCCCTAAAACAATACAATACACCCTATTGTTATTGGTCATGGTTACCTAGCAGAACTTGATAGTAAGACCCTATTGCTTAAGACAGCACACACTTTGATCACAGGACATGGAAAAACAATCAACCTGGTGCTAACTGCAAACCTTCCTCCCTGCTGTCTAGCGTTCCCAGCACCAAAGGATACTACACAGAAAGCTGGAGGTGAAAAGCCATCAGCAGCCGTACACAGTCATGAACCCTGCGAGTTACAATAATGACCAGCCTGGCAAAATAAGCCCATGGTGCAATGGTGACGTGATGTTATTGGGGTAACCAAATGCTTTCTGGGTGGATTTAAGGTCCACTCCAAGGGAGGAAGTACATGCCTGATATTGTGAGTCTAGCTAAGAGCCCATGGCTAGGGAGATCAGAAGCCCTAGGGTGGACCTACTACTATTAGTTTGCTAATTTGCTAATTGCTTGGACATAGTACCAAGTGACCTTCTAAATACAATTCTCTGTACCTATAGATTAGTAATCAATCCTCATGAAGAAGTCTTTGTGTAGCGGTTATGGTGGAAAGTCAACAAGTCATCAATAGAGATCAACTGATAAGAACTGTGAGATGATGATGAGAGGTGTGAGGTGATGAGAATTCTCTCTCAATCAATGAGAATAAGTGCCTGTGGAATATTCAGCTACAAATGAGACCTCTGGACCACACCCCTCTCCTGAGGCTCAGAGAGCATCATGGAGAAGGAAATGGAAAAAATTGTAGGATCCAGTGGTATGGGAGGGCTGGGACAAAAGAGTGTCTTCTGGACAGGACAGGGCAGGACTGCTGCACACATGACCTCACAGCAGCTGTAGCTGACTGCATAAGACCCGCACAATATCAAACCAGCCAACATTCCGGCAGAAATGGGGGAGAGGTTCACATGTTCCCAACTTTTTAACTGAGGAGCTAGAGACAGTTGATGGTTGCTAGGAGAGAGAGAGAGAAAGAGAGAGTCAGTTTTCTTTAAAAGGTGTGGTCCATAATAGATTGTCCATGTTCCAATAGATGGCCCTACACCCATCCATATATGGGCAGTATAAGCCAGAATCATTGTGTCTAAAATATAAAATAAAATAAACAAGACTGAGAGAGAGGTCATGAAGTTGAGGGTAGGTTGAAAGCTAAGACATGGATCTGGGAGACACTGGAGGAAGTGGAGGTGATTATGATTGAAATTCTCAATTAATTAACTTAATATATTATATAGAAAGTACAAATATTTGCTCAGTTTTAGAAGCATAAAACAGAAGCACATTGGTAGGAGGTTAGTATAAAGCTCCAGACATCCTGTTTCCAATCTAGGAGACAGTTAAATGATTCAGCTATGTCACCATCAGATGTACAGAACATTGGCTTGGTGGCAGCTTAACATAAAGAATGACTAGGAAAGAGACAAAGGCACAAGGCAAGTCCTATGCACAGCTGTCAAACTCAACTCTAATGCCAGCTCCCACAAATGAGAACAAACGCTGACCTCTCTTCCCAATCACCCGCAGCAACAGCCTAAGGATACTAAGAGTGCCACCAGCCTGTGGGTGACAACAAACAAGAAGGATTACTACACTGAGTGACAAAATCAAGATCCTTCCTGAACCTTTCAGCTGAAGTGTAATACGATGAAACTTGGCATGGATATTTCAAGTTCTTACAGTTATATCCAAAACCCAAATTTATAAATATGGTGTAGGGAAAGTATGACCTGAGAGCAGCTATGCAGATTTGACTTCCTTCAAGTCAAAGAATAACAATGCCATCACCACTTACTAAACGTATCACTAGACACACTGCAAATTTTCATAGTTCTAAAAGGGAGGTCATTGGTATCTCCACCACATAGGCAAGAAAATGGGGAATTTGAAATTTTAAGTAAAATGCCAAGAGTCCAAAACCTCATCAGTATCGAAATCTGGGGCTAGACCTATATAAAACCGTTTTTTAATCAATATATTGCTATCTTATTTAAAAATAATAGTATTAATAAAAGACCTAAAGAAATTATTTTGGAATGCACATATCTCAATTTGGGTACTGTATGCAGTTTTCTGGAAGTTCATTCCTTGTGAATAGATGGAAAGATAGGTAGGTAGGTAGATGATAGATAGATAGATAGATAGATAGATAGATAGATAGATAGATAGATAGATAGATAGATAGATGATAGACAAATGGAAGGATGGATGATGGATAGATGATGGATGGACAGGTGATAGATAAAGAGATCATAGACAGATGATAGATAGATAGATAGATAGATAGATAGATAGATAGATAGATAGATAGGTGATAGATAAGATCTTTCAAAAACATAGTCATAGAATATTCTGAGAAACTAAGAACTCAATGTAAAATGTGACGTGAAATACACAAATTTGAGATAACAACTATGTACATTATCAGGAAACAGACCTACGTGTTAAGTTTAGCCAAATTGGCCCTCTCTTCTTAGTTTTGTGACTTTTTATTAGTCTGTCACATGTAATGTATGACGATCACTTCTCAGCATTGCTGCTTGGAAGCATTAGAAACAATGACTATGAAGTCTCTTGGCACAGCCCTGTAACATGGAAAGTGGTCCAGATAGTAAAGCACTGCTCTTTGTGGAGATAAAGAACAAAGACTCTACCTTCCTATTGGGGAGAGCACTCAAAATGGCAGCTGTCAGAGAACCCACTTCCAAGTGAGCATCCATTCTGAGAGGCGTTTACAGAATTATGAAGGTGCAGCAAGGGAAACTAGTTTTTGCATTCAACACCACATCCTTTCAAAGATGGGATTCTATAGAAGAACAGGTATGCTTTCTCTTACCTGCAGAATGATGTCACCAGCAAGCAAAGCCCACGCTTCCCACTTGCAGTGGTGGGTAAGAGCCAGGAAGACACACTCCCTGTCATTTCCACTCTCCTTGGGCTCAGGGGCACAACCCTTCTAGATGAATGAAGAAAGAACTATTTGTAATCTCGGGATCAGGAAAGCAAGCCTGAAGGGAAGGTGACTTTGGCATCAATTGGGCTTTTTTTAAAAAAGAAAATTAATGTATTCTTTTTACATGTAGAAATAGCTAAGTGACCCAGAGGACTAGAGTTAGCTGAATCTGTTAAAAGACAGATATGCAAAGACTGCAGCTGACATGGCCCAGTCTCCCAAATAGTGGCAGTTTGTGGTTTACAATGTGGGGTCTGGGCGGGGTCATTTTACTGCCCCACACTAGTGCATCATTGGAGGAATGATTTTATCCATGCCTTTTTCCTTAATGAAAATGTTTTGAGGGCCTGAGCTGCTCTTTGCCTTGTCATTTGAACTATATTTCATCACAGCCCATTTTACTATGTTTGGAAATTCATCTAGGATGATGAAAAAGCCAAATTAGAAACCGGCCTCAAGCCTGGGGAAAATATCTTGGGCATTTTGTTTACAGGCGAGAGCGATGAAATCTGCCCCTTTGAAGCTTTCCTCTTGACACATTTCTGGCCAGACTACACTGAGGAAGTAGATGTTCTAAGAGCAGGGGATGTGGTGTTTCTCTTCCAGGCTTGGGAAAGTTTTCACAATACGAAACTGATTAAAGGGGAAGGAAGCACAGTCTGTCCCCCCACACGGTGCTCCTCCTGCCTGAAGACCTCCTCCCCTCAGTCCTGGACAGACCGCTCTCCATGCGTCCTTAGGCCCTTGCTCAAAGGTGACAGTCTCTCGGCCAGCCTCCCGTGACAACCCTCCGATCTGCAGCCCCATTCCACCCCCGAATCCCATACCTTTACAGCGTTAGCTCCTACAATCTCCTGTGCCTCCTCATGACTTCCAAGCCTGTATTTATCTGAGGGGTGAGATTATTTGCCTCTCCCCAGATAAAATTAAAGATGTCAGTTGATAATGTTTTCCACTGTGTCCTAACACTTAGCACCGTGTTGGCAGAAGGCACATGCTTCAAAAATATTTATGGATTGAGTGGATCCATCCCAACTTTTTATGACATTAAATCACACAGATTAATAGCTCAATGTCAACTTACCAAGAACTAAGGCTTCTCGGAAAGTTAAGAGGTCAGTCCAACCTCTCATCACAGCTACATGTTCCCTCCTTTAGTCTGCATTTTCTACTTTTAAAATATGCCATGAGGCATGTTTTAAAATATGCCACCAGACGTGATGGTATATGCCCTTAATCCCAGCACTAGTAGGGAGGTAGAGGCTGGAGGATCTCTGTGAGTTCGAGGCCAGCCTGGTCTAAATAGTGAGTTCCAGGACAGCTAGAACTACACAGCCTTGTCTCAAAAACAACCAACAAAACAAACAGATGTCCCTGTATGTGTGTGGGGTGTGTGTGTGAGAGAGGAGGGGGTGAATCCTTGAAAACATGATTCTGTTTGTTCATCAAAGTCGGACAAAGGTCCTTTGGAAAAACAGATTGATGAGATCTTTCTTGACTGGCCACGTGGGCAGAAGTATTCATGCCAAAGGCCATGAGTGACATAAACAGTACATAGGCCCCAGACCTGGCACGTTCCTCAGTACTACCTAGGACTACACTGTTTGCTGATAGTGTTTTGGGAGGGAAGTAAAACTTTAACTCAAAAGGTGGACGTGTTTGGGTAGTAGTGATGGTTTCTGACCAGGCAGCCTGAGAGACTTGCTTCTGGACTTTTCTATGCCCTGTCCCCACAATCCCCTACGATAAATTCACGAGGGCCGGAACTAAGTCTGCCACATTCCTCCACTTACAGCAAGTACTCAGCAATCAGTTCTGAGTGACTAACGGGGCCCATCTTCCATCTGGTTCTTATGTAGGGAGACAATTAGGAATAACCAACCAAGAAACCTATGCAAGACCCAGTACAGGTTAATGTTGCATGTGACTGAGACGCGAACATCTTCTTACCCTACGTAGAGCCCCCAAAACAGACCAAAGGAAGAATTCTACCCAAGTTTAGCTTAGTGAGCCCCCAGCAAGTGTAATAGTTTTACAGAGCACAGGTAAGCGGTTACCTACGGGAGCATGGATGACTAGAAGCCAGGTGCACAGGGGTCACAGCTCATGAAAAGCTGCCTCCCTGGAGCGCCCTCTGTGAGACTTACACAGCTCTCATGAAATTGTTACTGCTTATATAATCTTGGGGGGGGGGGCGGTCTTGGAATTTTCAGGAACTTCCTGAGATTGGCAAATTTCCTTTACTTCTTGGGTGTTAGGGAGCACCCCTCCAGGTGTGAACATTTTCAATCTAGAGGAAGTAGCTACACAAGAGATAGTAATATGGAAACTGGAACCAGTGGGCTGCTGAAGTCCCAAGAAAAATCTGAGTGTTGACCATTCACTGTAAACCCTCGGCCAGGTGATCACAGTAACTGTTGGAGAAAAATTCCCTCCCTCATGTTTCCTTCAGGGAGGTCAGGGAAGGAAAGGACCAGTTGGGAAACACACTGGGGACCCTCTGTTCTTAACAAGATGTGCCTTCAGGCGAGGCCAGTTAACCTGCTAACCAGCTGGTGCTTTACCAGAACCTAACTGGCCTAGAAGAAGGGAAATTCTAACTCTAGCCCCTTCTAGCCTTCCTGATGCACCTAGAGGAAAAAGACCTGAGAAGCTTTAAGACTGTTCAAGTCCCGAGGAGCGGTCTCACACGGAGACCTCACTGAAAGACCACAGAATGCTTCTCTCCCTTCCCCCTAACGCCCACACCACTACAGCCTCTTCTACAACAGTTCCTTTACCCGGCACATCATGTTCAGCTCTAAGAAAAAAGCTGCTGCAGCCATACGTGCCTGAAGTCCCAGCTCATTAGAAGTCTGAGGCAAAACATGTGATTTTAGGCGTAACCCGAGCAACACAGCAAGATGAGCGGGGAAGGAGAAAAGAGAGGAGAGGACGAAGGGGGAGGAAAACATACTAAAAGTTGGAAACATAATTTTAGAAAACAACAAAGCATCAGACAGAAGTGGCTTTAATGGGTAAAGCAGACAGCAAGTGAGAGCAAATAGGCAACTTAAGCACAGAAGAAGAAAAATCAAAAGAAATGCAAGAAAGAAAAAAAACTACCAGAACAGACACAGACAGTGTGGATAGATAGGCTATTAGTAGACATGGCTGACGACTCTGCCTTGGACATCCTGCCAGCAGAGACCTCCAAAGCCAAGAACACAAAGAGAATAAAAATTAAAACAATACTCAAGAACTGTGGCATACCTGTAGAGATATTAAGTTACGATGTGCCCAACACAAATGTCTCGAGAACGGGAGACTAGCTTAAACAAAACTTATTTTCCTTATTTTTAGTTAACCTAACATAATGTCTTGTTCTAAATAATAACATCAAGAATGTGTGAAGTTATGTACAGTTGGGTATCTCTTGTGTACACTTCTGCATACTCAGCTATAAGGAAAATGAACAATAGCCATGGCAAGAGGCAGGAGGAAGGAATTCGGTTATTTTGCTATTACAAGACATTCACAGTACCCATGAAACTATGTGAAATGTTTTGAAAATACAGTTGGGTTCACTGCAAACTTAAATTGCAAAATCCAGGGTAACCACTGGAAAAAGTAAACAAGAAGGAAAAAGGGAGGGGAAGGGAAGGAAAGGGGAGGGGAAGGTGGAAGAGGAGAAAAGGGGAGGGGAAGGAGAAATACTAAGAAAGGAGGAAAATGGAATTATGTAAGATGTTCAAAATGACAAAAGGCAAAAAAAGAGAGAAGACAAAATCTGGACCAAAGAACAATGAGAAACCCCACAAGTTTGGCAGATCTTTATCTATGATATCATCAGTCACTTTGAGTGCCACTGGTCAACAGAGAGACTGCTGGGGTGGCCCAGACCACACCCAACTATATGTTAGGGAACCATCAATAGATCAAGAACTAGGGCATCCCAGAATTCTCAGAATTCCTGGAGTCCCATTATATTCTCCTGCTGTTGACCTCACCACTCTGCTGTTAGCTTCCGGTTCCGGCAAGCCCTCATTTTGGACCTAGTTTCTTTCACAGCACATCATGTTCATGAGCATCATTTAGATCTTTCAAAGACAAAATGGCTGCCAAATGGTCAAAAGGACAAACATCCTCATGAACCTTAGGGACACACTGACCTGGGATAGACTGCAGTGTCTGAAACTGGGCCTACCAGAGGAAGCAGCTTTCTGGAATCCAACACCACACCGCATGATCTGAGAAACACTAAGCATCCAGTTTGCCTCCTCACCTGCACATTAAGATGGACGGGTAACATTTGCAGACAATCCTGACTTGCATTAGTTTATAGCCATCAAATTTTCCTCAATCCTGTATTTCTCCCAAAGAATTCACAACCCTCTTTGTGTCATGGGAGCCCAAGGCACCCTCCCAGCTCACTATCTAGCTGTGTTTTTTGTGATGATTTACAAATTTTGAGTCTGTTCTGTGCCAGAATAGACCTACTTTTTATTTTAACCTTGTTTGTGATTTGTATGAGGGTGGAGGGGACGTGTGTGTGTGTGTGTGTGTGTGTGTGTAAGCCAGAGGTCAACCATGGGTGTTGTTCTGCAGATGGCTGCCAATTTTGCCAACTTCTTTTGAGTTGTTTGGAGATAAGGTCTCCCACTGGAACCTCACCCATTAAAGGATTAAACTAGGCTGGCTAGCTAGAGAGGCCCAAGGATCCTCCTATCTCCATTTCTATTATAAGTACAGGCCACCCATAGGAGGAAATGGAGCTGCTGATCTGATTGGAAACCATTTTGGTGGGTTTCCTCTCCTCCCCTCCACTCCCCATCCTCAGCCCCTACCCCTCCTTCCTACCCAACCCCACCTCTTCCAACCCCCATCCCCCATGAGCTGGATCTTCTCTGTTAACTTCTAACCTTCACCTCATTTGACTCCCAGCTACTCTCACTTCCCCAAGGAAGTCTACAGGCTCAGGCAACAGACCCCACCACAGCAGGGGGGCTACTGGTATAAAGGGGTACCTCAACTAGATGTGCCCTTTCTTCCCATTTCCTCACGCCTTGGGTCCTCCATTCCTTCCTTGGAATACAGGACTCCCTCTCCATTCCCTGTTGCCCAGGAATCAGGCAGAGCCTGGCTGTAGGTCTGTGGTGTGGACTATTCATCAACTATGTGACATGAAACATCCCCTTCCCCTGAGACCTAGAGGGACTCCTAGTCTGTCTCACCAGAGCCCACACGCTACTGTCTGTCAGTCAACGGCATTAATAACTCTCCTAATAAGTTGCTTACACCAAAGACAATGTATCTCAGTGTCTCCCTTGAACCATCAAACCTACATAAAATCTTTCAGTAATGTAAACAAGTGTGAGCATTGACAGCCATGCCCTAAGTGGCCTGGGGTCAGGTCCTAGGGTAGCCATGGCAACAGCAGTCCCACAACATCCACACATTTGCAGTTTCCTTGGTTTTTTTCCACTTCACTCTCCACCCTTCTGCCAAACCAGATGCTGACACCTCTGCCTCTATGCTCCACACCAGACCCAAGCAGTCACTGGGACGTGGTACAACCAGCTTAACTGTTAGGACAGAGCTTCCGTTGTTTTACGTCTATACAGCGTTCTTTGCCAACCTTACTGGAAGCATGTTCCCATAAGAATTTATCTCGTTCCACTTGCTACCAGCTAAATTTATCTGTGTGGAATTTAACAACATGGAGTTATTAATTAGGGACCAAGCTATTTCCTGAGCACTTTTGACATAACTGTGATTTTGTGACTCTGTGATTCATTCTCACTGCTTGAGCCCATCTGTGCCTGGGCAATGCTTTTATTTATGTTTTCAGTTGTTTGTTGTTCTCGTGTCTTTCTTTCAAAGACAGATTTGGAAAAGTAATTTTTAGAAGAGCTGTTCCCCCCACCCCCACCCCCACTTTACAGAACACTTTTAATTAAAACGCACTAGAACAATTCCATTAGGACCATGACATCTCAAAATGCTCTTGGTGCAGCTTTATCACCAGAGTTTTTTAGGGTCAAACCCCAGGCCCTAGCAGCCCTCACAAGCTAGACTCTGACACCTGTCCCCAACAGGCTAACTAAAGAGAAAAATATTGGAGTCGAGCAGAGAACAATTTATTCACTGTAGCCATATTAGAAAGAGGAACAGATGCAGAGATCCGATGACTGTCCCCTGGCAGGTCCATTCTCAG